GGGCGTTTCTTCTCTAAAGATAGCGCTACGGCGTGATTCGACCCAGGCTCTTCTAAACTCACTCCTTATTTTTATCGTTGGCTAATTGTTTGTTATTGAATTTGTTTTTCCTAAATTACTAGAAATATTTCTCCACTTTAGACATAATTTTTCCAACAATAAGGACTTCATATGTTATTTATCAAATGAAAGGTTTCTGGATAAGATATAACGAAAAGTATAATACAAGTAAAAATCTGAGATTTTGTTATAGAACCATATATTTGATTAGAATATGTAAATAAAATATTTGTAACACAATACATATTGTTGTAATTCACTCCAATCCCACTGTTGGAAGTGGACAACAAAAGCGTGGTGGCAATGGCAACTGAAGGTCTTACAGAAAACCTTGGAGTGCACGGTAATTTGGTTCGTGCCATACGTGATTTGCTTCACCGAGACTGGGTGGTGAGGGTGACTCATTGCTATAGAGAGGCTAATTTTGCTACTCACTGTTTGGCGACTCTAGCTCACAGTTGTCCTGGTGGTTTCGAACGACTATTCGACCCACCATCAGTAGTTCTATCGTGGTTACAGCACGACCTTATTGGCGTGTCTTACCAACGGAACGTACCTACTTGATGGTTCTAGGCTTTCACCTCCTTCTTTGTACCAAAAAAAAAAAAAAACCTTTTGAGAATATTTCACGAGTGTACGCTCAAAGATAAAATTCTTATATGGTCAACACTTACAAGCAGAACCGATATCAAGTTCAGGGTGCTCGATCTCGAGCCCTCAACGAGTTAAAAATTAAACTCAAACTCAGCATGTAAATCATTATTAACGAGGGATCGAGTCTTAAAGTCGAATTTATGTTTTAACGAGTTAAACTATAGAAAATTATATAATTATATTTTCGAGCCTTGACGAGCCTTAGAGTAAGCAGAGCCCGACTCGTTAACGAAATGAGTTTTAGGCGAGCCTAAACTCGACTTGTTTATCAAACGAACTGAGTCGAACTCGAGCCTTAATAAGCTGAGTCGAGCCAAATTCAAGATTGGCTCGTTTTGGTTATCAACTCCAAGCAACACCCACCCACTAGGCCAGCAATATTCACCTCAATCCCACTATAGACCTACTATGAAAGAAAATACATTTGGAATAACTTTTTGAGATTTATTTAATTTTTTTTTTTTATTGTATTTACTTTAAACATTTAAAATCTTGACCTTTTGAGATTCTCAATCTCACTGTATACCTACCTACTAGTGAAAAGTACATTTCTTTTGAGATTTTAAAATTTTTGTTTTATTTAGTTTGAGCATTTTAAATCTTGTAAAAAACTTGATGTATTATTTGGGTTTTGAAAATATATCTGTCAAACCGGGGGCAATACGAGTGCGGTCCCACACAGGTGAAGCGCACCATATGAGGGTTAGCCCAAATGAAGCTCAAGTGAGGTTCCATCCCAAAACCAATTGGTAGTAGGAGGAGTAACCCACTAGGCTTATAAGTTAGGCCTATTTACCCTATCAAATCAATGTGGGACAACTCACAAGTGACATTCCAACAATATCATTTGATATTTTAAGGATTTGGCGTATTTAATTTGAACAATTTAAATCTAGTAAAGATTATTCATTTAATATTTTTAAAAGTTTCTATTATTCAATCAATATACTAACGTATTAAGATTTCAAATACAAAGAAGCAAATTAAATAAAAAAAAATATGGCTTACCCCATCAACGTTATGTTTTAGCGTCCGTTAAGTTTAAGCCTCCTTCTATTGTACCAAAAATAAAAGAATAAAAAAAAATTCTATTAGAATTTTTGAAAATAAAATAAAAATATTATTTAAAGTCTAAACGAAATAGTAAATACACTCCAATAATAAAGATTTTGAGGAGGCAATCAATAGATGTGGACCCTTATATATATTCATCATAAATCAAAGTCCTACGAAAATTGACAGATAAATCCTTTGCCCGATAGATTCTAGAATAAATAAATAAATAAATAAAAAAATAAAAAAATAAAAATCAAGAATTTGTGCAAGGGACCCTCTTTAATTGAAGGGGGCATGGCATCTATCTTTCTTCGTGACCTCTTGGACACCACCCAAAAACCGATGACACACTCTCCGCCGTCCGATCCAACGATTCTCGTAATCTTACCCCATCTTCATGTCTATTCCCCGAAATACCCCCAACATATTTTCCCCATTTTGACCCTCCAGCGCGTGAATCCCAATGACCTTTTTTTAGATTTGTACTACCGCGTCCTCTTTTTCCGGTTCCATTGCAGAAAAAAGGCTGAGACACTTTGCACAAAATCCGATATTTTGCTGTCCCCCTTTTCTATTTTTTTCCTTTTCTTCTGGTGCTTGAAGAATTTACGTGTTATTTCACACTGAACCGGCCTTCTTTAATCTCCAATCGCCTGAGTTCTCGGAAACCTGCAAGGACGCGGGGAAGTGTTCCCGGTGATAAACCTCCAACGCTCAAATTAGTAAGATATATCGGAGAAAATATTGTATGTATTTTAGGGTTTTGTAACGTGAAAACTCATACCTACCATCACACGAGATCCATCTATTTTATCTCCTGCTTCCTGGCTTTCTTTGTGCGCTTTTCCCTAGCTGCCACCTACCAGTCCAACATAACCTAACCGAGCTAATAATGGGCCGAGCGCGTACCACACCAAATTTAATCTGTTCGGCCCATTAAACGAGCCGACACCTACTCGGCCAATAAACAGATCCGATTTCCATCGACCTACATAAATGTTCTCTTATGCTATATCAATTATGCTTTACAATTTAATATAACAATAAAGTTTTTTTATGTTAATTACTCACTTTAGAACTATTAAGTTCTAACGACAATTAATTGTGTTAATCTCTCTCTATATATATAAAAAACACCCGACAAGATAATTTCATAATGAGACCGAAGCATTTTTTATAATGATACTATTATTAATTTATTAAGTGACACTTCTTCCACTTTTTAGTTATAATAATCTCTATATATTATGAGACTACTAGTTTTTGGCCCGTGCATTTGCACGGAAAGTTATATGATAGAAGAGAATAAAGTAAAAAAAAAAACAAATATAAAAATAATAACATAATCATTGAAACAAAATAAGAA